CTGGGTAACCTCACATACCAAAAAGGGTTGAAATTAGTTCGATAGTTCCTGAGATATAAGATTGGTGTTGCCACGCCATTTTCCAATTTTTACACCTCCACCTATAACGCTATTCCTATCATCTTGTTTCTGAAACTTAATGCTTATGGCGTATGTATTTAATGCGTTATCGCACTTTTAGTAGTTTTCAACATAATCGTTATATCGGGAGTAGGCGTGGTTATTATGTGTATGAAAAATTCCTACAAATACAATACTTCCTCCCAGCAAATTTGGTTGAGTTAGCTTCAGCGGTTTGTAAAATATGTATAATAAACCATTGAGAAGGCAGAGCTATGTCCTCTTTTAAAAACAATTTCCGCCAATAGGTATACCTTGTTACCGCAATGTTCTGTACCAAATTACAGTTCGATATCTTAATTTAGTTTCATCAAGATATATCAATTTATACTCAAGTTATAGCTTGCACAGAAAAAAGTTAGAACAAACATACATACATACATACAGTGAAGCTAATAAAAGCGCTACAAAAAAGACACATACATACTTGTACATCTGGTAAGGTTGCAAATGATGCGTTGAGAAAATAATTTAATTAACATTTGGATTAAAATTTCTTTTTCTTTTGTATTCTCAAATACACGATTAAAACGAAATTTAATCCCGCATAGCGGATTAAAAAAACAACTTTTAATCCAACATATCGGATTCAAAAACATTTTATTCCAATAATTTTATTTTAATTTTCCATCCCCACTACCGGATTGAAAAATAAAAAAGAAACAATTTAATCTAAAGCATATAATTAAGAATTAAGAAAGTGTTTATTTTAGAATAAACCTTTTTTCCAATTCAAAATCAAAATATTATAATTTCAATTTCCACTTTTTAATCCGAGACTTGGCTTAAAAAATTAAAATACTTGTATACTTTTTAATGAGATTTAGAAAAAATATTTTTTTTATTTTTAAATACAAAATTTTTAAATTAAGGAATTCGCAACCCTGATATGAGGTCAGAAATGAATATATAGCTGTCACAAAAAACTGGACGCGATTGAAACAAAACTATTGTATATCGTTAATGAGGGCAAACCAACATAAACAAAATCCAACACAAAATTCGTGTGACAAAAACAGTGTTGACCAGTGTAATTATAGACGATTAGCAGCAGGCGTTACAACAATTAGTCAAAATGAACTGCAGTAATCACAAATACTAATACGAAGAACTACTCGAAGTTATTAATCAACTACATATTTCTGTTGTATGTAATTAAAGCAATCTGATTAAATAATTAACATTAAGTAGAATTAGTAAACACTAAATTACTTCAAGCCATATAGAAGGAAAAGTTACATAGGTATAACTCTGCAGGAACTTTACCACAAAAGTACAACTAGATTTTCGTTGTGTGGTTGCATATTGCTCAGATTTATTGAAAATTGTAAAATTTTGGTGGGTTAAGATAAAAAATAGATTGCAGAGTTATTAATAAATGAATAACATTTAGAGTTATCAAGTTTTTTCAAAATGGAGCATTTAGCGCTAGTGGAGCCCGAGGAGGTAACACAAGTTAATTCTAGAGTTATTTTCAAAAACCCAAAAACTAAATGTGTTTTGAAAGCAATTTAACTATTTTTTTTTATTACTTTATACTTTCTTTTGCCAAAATAATATATTTTATGATATTTTTTTATATAAATCAATATTTTTACTTTTCCTACAGGTTGGTTTCTCTCACGCTACACTAATTCTACCTTGACGCTTTCAAGTAATTTGCCGTGGTAATTGCCTTGATTGCGGTTAAATGGTGAGATTTCACTTTCATATGCAATGTATGTGCACACGAATAAAACTACTTGTACTCACATTCACATGGCTTTTGTTTGGTTAGTGATTAGTGTGTTTTTCTCCCGCCGAGTTTTTGTGCTTTATGTTGCGAAGCATAGTTGTTTACACTTAATACCGATTTCTTTTGTAGATTTGTAAGTTTTTTTTTGTTCACATCCCAACGTTGTTTCACTAATGATGAAACGTTAAAAGCGACAATCTACGTTGTTCTGTTTACGATTTCTCACAATCTTTCGCTCTCTCTCACTGTAAATTATTAAGGCTAGTATAAACATATATCAGGTTCTATTATAGAACAAGCTTTTGTCACCATAAATGCCACGCAAAAAATCTTCGGTCTGACCAGAAAATGAAGTATTTTGCACTAGAAATATTTTCTGCAGAGAGATAAGAGAGGATTTTAAATTTTCTCATTGCTAGATTAAACTTTTTTTGATTCATATTTTATATATGAAGATCTTCCCGCAGATTCAAATAAAAATAGCAATTTTACCACAAAAAATATCCGGTATGCCATTGAGTTTGGAACACGCAGAAGGAAACTTCGGAAACCCTATAAAATGCATATACATATAAATTGATCAGCATGGCAAGCTTAGACGATGTAGCCATGTCTAAGTCCTTCTGTATGTGCGAACTAGTCCCTCAGTTTATGAGATATTGATATAAAAATTTGTACATGTCCTTTTCTCCCCAAGAAACTGCTCAGTTGTCGAAATCCACCGCATTCAGCTGCCATACAAACTGAACAATCGGAATCAAGCTCTTGTACGGAAAACTTTCTCATTTGACGAAATATTTTCACAAAATTTGGCATCGATTGTTGTTCAAGGCATCAGTGTAATCTCCGAAGAAACTGTCGGGAACGGACTACTATAGCATATAGCTGTCATACAAAACGAAGGGAATCAACTTATTTAAGGAATTTTTTATATTTGTATGGGGTATTATAGCTTCGGTAAAACCGAAATTAACGTTTTTTCTTGTTTTATTATACTATTAAATTATCAGACGTAGGTATACATAGCAGAAGCAAAAAAATCGAAATGTTTCAGCAAATATACTAAGACCCTCAGAATCGAATTGAAGTAGATGTTTTCACCAAAATAATTGAGAAAATTACCACATAAATTCTTAATTAAATAAATATTGGCTAAGTTTAGTTGACAAATGCTTAAAGACTTTCAAACAATTCTAATATATATATGGTGCATAAGCTTTGTAAGCTATTGTCACCGCTGATTTGATACTTAAACTGTTTAAGCTAGAAGTATTACAATGTAAATTATATATATGTGCAAACTTCAACGTCTCTAACCACATAATTAATTACAACAGCAAAGCATGAAGTTTAGCAATTTGTACCTGTCTGCCTGTCTTGACTGATTCTGATTGACTCACAAGTGTTGGCGTTTGTCTATTCACTCACGTTAAAACCCATACATATAACAGTACATACTTGGGAATAAAAGTACTCACAACATATACCACGAACGAAACGCTTGCACAATTTATGAGCAACCGACGCGCTTTTTCTAGAATCGTGAAATGAAAAGCCTAAATGAGTTGAAAACTTTTTTATGACCGCCAAGCCTCACAACCATACCAAAAAACAAAAAATGAATGCGTGTACTTCGCTACCACTAAGTCAGTAAGTGTTACGCCTACGCTTCAAACGCCACACACGCACAATCCGCGTTCGCTTGGTGTCGTTTTTTCTTCGCAATTTGTTGCTACCTTTTTTTCTGTGTTTAAATGACTTTTATGCGATTACTTTTTTGCTCACAGCTGTTGGTGAGAGCACAAATGGACTGGGCGGCGCAATTTCCGTATTCCTTTGTAAATGTCACTATTACAGTTATTCCGAAGCCGTACAAAAAAAAAATTCAACAATCTGTTTCTATTTCCTTTCTATGTGTGTATCTTTTTTTTTCTAAAATTTCACGTATTCATTTTATGTGTTTGGTAAACTCATCACGTCGATAAGAGAGTTTAAAGTGTTCTCGTATGTTTTGTTTTACTAAATTAGTACGAAAAATTGTTTTACGCAAAACTGAAATTTATCCCTTAATTCGATTTTCTGATTTTTTGTTGTTATTTTCTGTTTGTTTTTTGTTCGGTTGAGTTCGAAACATTAAGCAGTTCAGTTGTTCGGTGTGTAACGTTCTGATTGCTGTCTAAAATATACACCTACAAGGGTGGTCCAATATGTGTTACGCCTCGCCGCCACTATCGCCGAAACAGACTCGCAGTTTTGTTTTGACTGCGTGAAGAAGCGTGCGTATCCGCGGCTTTAAGAATAATGGAAAAAGAAAAATATCGGGTTGCGATTCGATTTTGGTTTTTGAAAGGCAATACGCGAAAAGAAATCAAGGACCGCTTGGTGACTGTATACGCTGACGACCATCCAAAATAGACATAACGAGTTTCAACGTAGTCGCACGTTGGTTTTTGGATTGCTCGCTCCAGGTGCCTTGAAAATGGCTACCATGTAGGATAACGTGGCAAAAGTCCTCGTATTGGCAGACCACCGAATAAAGGAGCACAAGGTAGCTTTTTAGTTTGAGGAGTTTCTGCTTCATTTTGTAACCGTCAATAAAACATAGATCCGCTGGTGCACATTTCGCCTGCCGAACCTGCTCCACAGGAGACGAAAACTGAAACTTAAGATGCACAAGATGCGACATCGAGTAAATACATGAAGAACTTTTTTGCACCTTTTTCATTTTGTGACAAAAAGTAAATGAGGACCGTGACGAAGAAAGTCCATCACATCTACGAAGACGAATAATTTGAACTATATATATAGCCTGATCTAATCTTGTGAAAGGTCAAAACTATGCTTCTGAAGGAAAAGAAAGAACTCAAACCAATACCAGCTTCAGGAATCTAAGACGACTGACCATTCTCAATTTAAAAGCGAGGATGAAAGAACGTTACTATATATCATTAAAATCTCAAAATGTCGCCGAATCTAGAGATCATACTTGGACACTTAAAGACAAGTCAATTTAGGTGCAAAAACTTTTTAATATAGAGTTAAATAATCATGTTTCATATAGTTAGGTAAAGGAATGACAGATCACTGAAAAGGCTGGTACTATCAAACTGATTAAGATATAAGATCCAAACTTAAGACCTTGTACTCGTAAAACCATTTTCTTTAGCATTTATTTCACGCTTATATATGTTTATACAATATTTACTGAGTCAGTATCTAATTCGTTTACTTCGGATTTTTAGCCGCTAACTTTTGTAAGAGCGTTAAAAATGAAAATGCTTGTGTTACCACCTGAAAGATAGAATAAAGAAATAATGACAAACTTTCTTTGGTTTAACGCCCATTAACTGTAAAACTACTTTCTAAAATCACTTTGCTAACACTTACCGACCGCAATCTCTCCACATCCATAGCATAGAATTTACCCGCCGTCAGCTGAACTGCACGCTTACTATTCGCCAATAGAATGAATACATCCTGACGTATGGCAGCGGTATGGGTCCACCACTGTGAGCGCCAAAACGCCTCACCACTACGCACACTATGACCGCGTAACAACTCACCAAAGTAAGTGAACATCAACAATTCGATGAATGTCAGAGTCACATATTGGACCAAATTCAAAATGCGCACCATCGAACGTTCGCCCTAAGGCGTAAAGAGTAAAATCAGGAGTGAAGAAATGGAAAATCAAATTTAACGTAGGTGGTTATAGTAGCCGATACTGCGGCAGCAATTTCAACAACAACTCACCGCAACACCAACAAAAACCAATAAGCACAGCTGCAAAGTTACTTGTATCGATTTAACAAGGCAATAAGGATTAAAAAGTTCCTCCAACTCCTTACAGGCACCCAGGATAAAGCGATGCAATTGCACACATTGCACTACAGCCAAATGCAGGGCTTCCGGCAGCGTTGCTGCTGGTTGTTGACTGTATAAACGTTGAAGCGTCGAAAGATTGGTTAAGTGTTCTCGGCAATACATATACTGATTCAGTTCGTCGTCGGAAGTTTTTGGCAGTGCTGCTTGTTCATTGCTAGAGGGGAAGAATTTAAAAGAAAAGTGTAGTAACTGCTTAACATATTGTTTGGTATACAAGTAAACACTCTTCAAGTCGAATCAAGGATATAATAAAGATCTTTATTTTGATTTTGATCGTTCAGTTTGATGCAAAATTCCGTGACTATTTTGTTCGGTCAGTTTATATGGCAATTATATGATATATTTTAATGCTACGGTTAAAAAAAATTAGCAGTTTCTTGGGATGAAAAATGCTTGTGCGAAATTTTAGATCGACATCTCAAAACCTATAGACGAACATGGCTAAATCAAATTAGCCTATCACGTTGATCATTTATATGTATATATATATATATACATATAAATATATATACATTTATATGTTTGTATATTTGTATATATAAATAAATACTTTATAGGGTCTCCCACGTATCCTTCTGGGTGTTAGAGACTTCGTGTTATACTTAATCTATCCTTTTCAGGGTATAATAAAGATGAAAATGAATGGGTTTTAAAACCTCTGAAATTTTGAAAAATGACAATAAAAAGACCCCATCTTTAAGACCATGTAAAGGCAGTAGGGTTGAAATTTAAAATCTGCTGCATAAATTAGATTTCCAATGTCAATAAGAAGAACCGTTCTTAGAATTGTTCGGAGAACATCAGAATGACTGATTGAGTCTCTATTTTTGTGCTCTCATTTCTAATATCACCTAGGAACTTAACATGGCAAGGCTTCGGGCATTTAAATTTCCAAAGACTATGTCTGATGGAAATGGATAAATTTAGCTCAAATGATATTTAATTAGTCGTCAAAGCTCAACGATGAACTGCAATAAGAAGAATGACAATAACATCACAGCGGATCTAAAAACTTCAGTTGTTGACGGTTAAAAGAGGGAGGCCTCTATTATTTTGAAAAACTAAGTGAAGAAAGACTGACCCAAAAATAAATCCCCCTGCGGGTAGGGGTAAGAATTTACCCGCGCTAAGGCATGCCTGTCGTAAAAGGCGACTAAAAGCCAAATGCACTATGACTGTTATTATGTACCTTGCTCAGTAATATCAGCATAGTATGTCAGAAATAGTGCTATAATACTCAGCTTGAACTGATATTATAGACTTTAAATGAAAAAGCAAATAAAAAGACATTTGAAGTTAAAGCGACAAATGTCACCGGAGACTTTCTGGTACCACGGGGAGCAGAAAGCCCTTGGACTTCGGTCCAATCTGCTCATTGGGTTATGGCCCCTTTGGGGAGATTCGTGGTGGCTGTGGTTGAAACCTAAATGCAGGAAGAACTGAAAATTCAGCCTAACTGTTTTTTCAGTTCTAAAATAAAGTTGCAAAAAGCAACTGCGTTCCGTACCCGAAAACGGAAGAGGTTTTAGGTCGGCCTCGAATCATACCAAGATGGTAGTGTGGACCCAGACACACTGCCACTGGTATCCAAATAAATACTTGCAAATAGCTCGTATTGTTTGGGGCGCTTATCAACGCATTGTATTGATACGTTGTGTTTTGGAACACCGTGAGGTAAGGCCGTCGCCGGCAGGTACTCACGTAAATCAACAACGAAAGTTGCCCCAAAAATAAAGTACTAGTTAGTGAAAGATGATGTTTAAAAATACATGCCAAATGAAAGAGCATTGAAACTTAAAGAGATTCCTTTGAAAATTAAGGAGGTTTCATAGCAATGCAACAACTTCGTCAACCTCTAAGTGATGTTCAAAGTACATATATTCAACCTACCGCAATTTCTCAACATCACAGCAGGCGCGCAAACGGCCATAATAACTCAAGTTCTTCAAACTGCAGTAAAGCACATCGAACTGTCCACACATGAGTATAACCAACGAAACGAACAAAGCGGAGCCATTACCGAAAGTGGCGCCCATTATTATCTGAGCCGACAATTGTAAAGCATACACAAACTTGTAGACATAAGGTTGCTGTAAGCAAAAACCACAAAGATATAAATAGAAATGAATTGAAAATATGCCCCAAATAAGCCACCTACCAACGGATCAAAGGGATACCAGCACTTCAGTGGTAGTGCGTGCACACCCATGACCAGTGGAGCTAAACCATACAGCGCCGTACCGGCCATACAGGTCAGCGCCCACACAACAGTTATACGTTTAGCCAAAATAAAAGTGCGATGCGAGCTCACAAAGCTTAAGCCGGGCAACGAGTGATGCCAATAATGATGATTGATATGTTGTAGAAAGGCCAGCAGACGCTGCCAACGCAGCAACCAATAGCAGGCGGCATAGACGCTAAACCAAAATATGATAGTCATGGTGAGTGCGTCGGTAATCTGTTCCAGTTTCCCGTTAAGCAGCATATCGTAGGAGGTCTTCAAAAAAAGCACACCCAAATAGAGCGATTGCGTTATGACGAAGCAGCAGTAGGTATAGCCCAGTCCATAGTGTACATCGAATGGAATTTGTCCGGTGGCTTTGAAGGCGATTACTTGTGCAACGAATAAGTCAGCAATACGCTGCTTGTCGTCATGGGAATACAGTAGCGACATGTCACCTAACTCTCTGGTATCCATTTTGATTATGTTTTTTATGATTTCTTTGTTTGCTTTAAAAACATTTTCGGTTGAAGTGGCGATGTAAACTGACCGTTAAGCCTTTTTAAGCCAAATATTTATATTGCATAGACACGAAAAATCAAAAGAAGATTATAAACGAAATTTGATGTTTTGTGCTAATTTATTTATAAATAATTGTGGTACCATAGGTTTACTTATTATAACCACATTAAAAACTACAGGGTTCTGTAATCAATATGAGATAAAGAAATTTACAAGAAGGATGGTTGATCAATCGAAGTGGGCAAGTTTTGAGCTTATACTTGTATAAAAGCAATTAATTTATAACTTAAAGATAGCAAATGCCATAAGTTTTGAAGTGCCTAAAGGAAATTAAAAAATAAATATTTTATATACTTTATATACTCGTTAAAAATACTATCACGAAATAATATTAGCAAACGAAAGATCTCGTCCATGATAACTTACATAAAGCTTTCGCAAAAGTTCTTGAAACTTATAATCAACAGACTTTATATGAGCATCGGATAATTGTTTGTTTCAGGTTCACCAGTATATGCACTTCATGGTCGTTCGGTATTTATTCCATTTAAGATCCAAATAAGAAAGTCGACATTGAAGGTCAATCGCTAAACTTTTTACTCTGATATTCTAATTTTATACCCCTGTAAAGCCGTGTTCGTATTACTCTGCATGGCGTCATATGGAATTTATTATATTATATATAAACAGTTTTCTATCATAAATTTTGAGTATTAAACTTTATGCCAACGCCTCTTAAAACTTTTCGAATTGTAATTAATTATTTAGTCTTGAGAAGCACATAGTCTCAACAAAAAAAGAATAAATATGTTTGCGTAGTTTAAACCATTTTAGAACTATTATTAAATAGTTATATAATTATAATAATTTAAAAACTAAACTTATATGGAGACAAGGCGCAAAAATCTGGAAATCAACTCAGTCTGAAACGATTTGCTAAAAAATATGGTTATGCACAAAATTTTACTCTGTAGGTTTTTTAACCAAATTATTTCGATTGCTGAGCCAAATAACTTACGGTCGGATCTATGTGTTAAATTTATATATAATTCTTTGAAACAGGTATGTGAGTCATATTATTTACAATATTACTTAAAATATATTTCATGGAATAATTTGTAACCCAGATTAAAACATTAATTGTTTCAACAAATTTTTTTTCAATATTTTGTATTTTAGTTATTTTTGTTGTTATTTATTTTGATTTTTAAACTTAGATGTTTATTTGAAAACTACGACTGCTTAGGAAATATGTTATTTTAAAATTCATCACATAAATATATAGTATGGATAAATAGTTGAACTCATCTGTCAAAACTATTCCTCTTTCACCGTAAAATATTGAACTTTCATAATTTTCCCACTAAGTTTAAAATATTTGCACAATAACCGTCACCAAGTAAATGTATACATTTTAGCTGGCAGCTGTAAGAAGTATTGTTCTACTATCCTAAAATACTGGTTTACAAATATTTTCGCACAAATTTTAGAACATTCACATACACATAAGTGCCATGTGGTAAGTGTGTGGATCCTGCGAGAAATACTTTTATACAGTCACAAGCAGAATGCTTGGCTTTATTAGTTCAAAATTTCCCTACATGGTCAAAATATTTCATTTTATGAGCGCAAGTTCGTGGAATTAATAAATATACATCTAATACAGCTCAGTGGTTGTGAAATTTTTGTTTGCAAATTTTATTATACAGTATAATTTAAATTTTTAGTTAAAATGAAGACATCACCGAGGAATATTAAGGGCAAATCTTCTGTAATCTAGTAAACAACTTTCCTTAACCTTATGACACAAGGGGACCGAATTCACAAGCAGTTGTATTTGCAAATAGCAAGTTAATCGGCTTGAAATTGTTCAAAAAAGTAAAACCTTAGAATATCGAATGCTTAACGATACAATAGAATTTGATACCATTCACTTCAAGGCATAGTCAATACTACTTTATAGAAGGTCAACCTGGGGTATGAGCATGAGACAAAAAGCTATTGTGGGCGACTAGTTATCAAACAAATATTTTATAGTCTAACTAGCTGACTGACTTTTACAGTGTCCTACCATGTCATATATGAAACTAGTTAGAAGATTATTGGTAAGCGAAAAATTAGAAACAAATATATCTAGTTGTTGGCTCAGAGTATCCTACTTACTTTGAAAAGCGCAAATTCCCCACAAGCGGAATCGAGAAAAAAGACCTACGTGATTGAAGAGCCAAGTCTTGAACAAAGTCTTTTTCACAGGGATTATTTTTTGAATGTCTGATCTGTCAAAATCATATAACCCATTTATGTGTATTTAATAACTTACATGATAACATAAATCTATTAAAGTCATGTGCCTTTTAGAAAATATTTCACTCCGTTAAAAAAAATTAATCAACAACATTAACGCGTTTTGTTGAGGGTCTTCCGTTTAAGCACACGCAAGTATGTGAAACTACTCGAACAACTGTCCTTTAGAAAAAAATAAATCCATTATTATGCTAGTTGGTGGGCGTTAATTTGCAGCAAGTGCTGGATGCCGTCCAACAAAATTACCCGACTGCGGTTATGAAATTTCGCCCAACATTCATATACTTGTATATATATGTATGTTTATACATGTGTGTATGTCCAGTCGTACTTCCGCGTTACAGCAGGAAGTTGTGGAAAACTCAATTATACGCATCGCTTGACCGTGAAACATATAAATCGTTACCCCATTCAGCCGTTATTGCCCTTTAGCCGCTTCCACATTTATACTATTTCACAAAACCTCACATATGTACATATTTATCTATGTACCATATACATATACGTGTATATTGTCTGGCGACCAATTGCAAAAGCCATAAACTGAGACTTTCGTGCACTCCGTTAATACTAGTCCCCTTCGCTATGGCTCATACGTTATATGGTGGTTGCAAGTTAACCTTGAATGCTCACATAATAATATTTGTGGTCCGACGGGTCACCAAATGTCCTTAAGTGCTTACAAAGTGATTCACTACTAATTTGTTCATTTTATTCTTGTTGAAATCACAATTTACTCTCTGGGAGCAAAGTTATTTACATATATAAAGTCATTCTATATTTCGACATACGATAAAATTCTGTTGTTTTTGACGGACTTAAATTGCTCCAAGACCCCTTTTGAAGGAGTTGAACTCTGCGTACATCCTTACATTTAAGTTGGATTTGTATTGACCTTAGCTTTTTGTTGCAACTTTCACAAACTCTTTAGAAATAACCCAGTTAAGTCGTGACAACTCGGTATAAGCTGTAATGCTCAACTGAAATCAAAGGTCATTTTCTGTACGCTGAACAGGGTCTATTCAGATGGTAAATGATCAGCGTGACGAGCTGAGTCGGTGTATACATATATATATGCGAACAAGTCCCTTAGGTTTTAAGATATCGGTTTGAAAACTTGCAGTCGTCCTTTTCTCACAAAGGGGCTGCTCATTTATCGGAATGGCAGATATCGGTCCACTATAGCATATAGCTGGAATACAAACGGACTAATCAAAGTTCTTGTAGGAACTGTTTTATATTTGGGAAGGGTATATACTTGTATATTTTATATATATTAATTTTCATATGAAAAAGCTTCTTAAAGAATCCAGAATCTTCTTAAAATGTACAGCATCTCTTAATTTGGTGATTTGTTAAAAAACCGTGAACTTGTTCTGTGTAATGAAAATTTTCGCTTTCTGATTGTAATTAGAAAAAGTTTACCAAAGCAACCACAGATTCAAATGCATTTAATATCGATTAAATAAAATCGTAAACAAATATTTAACATTTAATTTAATTTATATTTTGACATATGTTAAATACTTTGCAAGTACAATCACATAAATACATACATAGCATAGTTAAATTTTTAATGAAAACATGTTTTAAACAATTTGTTCATAGCGCTCGAACCTGACAATATTTGTTTATTTTTATTGGTAGAAAAAGCAAAATTTGTAAACTTAAATGCACTCAAACAAAACAAGCACACATTGGCATAAAAAATGGGAAGTAAAATCAGTAAGGTCGAACTAGATTCGAAATTAAAAGTCATATATTAATAACAAGAATAACAGTTAACATTTTTACCATTTTGAAGCGTGTTGATCGAACTTTTATTCCTCGCTTGATGAACCTCGAAAAGTTCGTTAATATTTAATCAACGGCTAGAGCCGTTTCTCTAAATTTTGATATTTCACAATTCTTTTGAGATGATGGTACAATTATCGCGTACATTAGCCATCCCTCATGGCAAGCTTAATTCAATAAATTCAGGTAAGACAATTTACAATCTCATTTTCTTGCTCCGACGGACGAGCAGATCATATCACCTTTTCTGGCCAATCTGATTACTTTACCCATATAAACTATAATATCCCTAAGCAATTTGAGCACTATGGGTTAAAGTTCAAATACAAAAAACATTTGAGTACAAAAGCCCATTAAAATAACTTTACTGGTTAACTTCGCCAACAATCACATGGTTTCCCAGCACACATATTAAATACGACTATTTCTGCAGCCGGGTAATACATACTCACATCACCCAGTAAATGAAAGGTAACAAACTTGCCATACTTACATATATATAACGTAATTAAAAAGGTCATAAATTATTAATTAAATATCATAATTTTTAATTTGACTGCTAATAAATACTTAGAGGTTACCTTGAGCACCTTTTCATAAGACGAAAATTTTTTTTAGGAAACTCGGTATTGTTCCAAGAACTCTATGTTCAAATTTCTTCACTGATAATTTGAAAACTGTTTCTGTATTTACCACAAAGGTATGTAAAAAGAAGATATATTATCACACGATCATAGTATTCTAAAAATATCCCACAAGGATTCATACTTATTATTATTGTGACTGTGACTTATCAAAATTCTGCAGGTCTTTTTTAGCAGCAGTTGATCAAAACTTTAAGGGATGAGTTAGGTTATAACTTAAAAGAAGTTAGAAGTTTAAATTTAGTTTTCCATTGCTCTCACAAGCTATAACTTAAATATGAGTTGGCTTAGAGTTGCCACCTTATTACAATTTGGAAAAAATTTTCAACACTATTAAATCAAATCCAAACCACTTACGCAATAAGTATAATTTTCAAAAGCATTATAAAGAATATTATTTTATGATGCTGCCACTTAATTTGAAATACAATAATTTAATTATAACTGTACACAATTCGAAACTGCAATTTTACCAATAATCCGAATGGCCTGCTAATGGATTATAGAAAATATAATTTTATGATATTGCCACCTAATTTGTGATACAATATTTTTTTGATACTAAATTTGATCTTGCAAGTCTAAAAATCTGAATGGTCTGCTAATAGATTATAAAAAGTGTAATTTTATGATGTTGCCTCCTAATTTTAATAGAAAATATTTTAATGTTTATTACAAATTTAAAATTTGATCTTGCAATGCTACCAATAATACGAGTGAACTGCTAATGGATAACAGAAATTATAATTTTACGATGTTGCCACCTAATTGAAATACATTACTTTAATGATTAGTTGTACAAATGTGCTCTGTTCTACTAAAAAATCGGAATGGCCTGGTAATCGCTTATTGGGTAGTCCTACACAGTCGGAGGCATACTATTTTTACACAATATTTGTTATGGTTGCTAGAAAATATTCGGACAATGCCAACAAAACACAACTTGTTCACAAAAATTGCATTACAAAGTTTCGTTTACGACTTGTTTTTGTTATTGTAGCGCTAGTTTTTTGCTGTCATTGCTTCTGCTTTTGTTGTTGTTGCTGCTGTTTTTGTTGTTGTTGCTTCAACCAATGTTGACACACACAATGTTGTAATGGTTTTATGCCACTACTGTTTGTTTTTGTGTGTCTTTTCTGTGCATAACTGACCAAAATCAATAAAAGAAGAGAGGAAATAGCATAGCCAACAACAATAACGACTATAGTAACAGCACAGTCAGGCATAGTAGCGATGGCAATAAACTAGAACACAATAAATAAATTAAAAACAATAAAGTGGTGTTGTCAGTTAGTCCTTTCGACATGGTATTTTAATGGTTTCACTTTTGTCGAAGTTTTTTTGGCGGAATATTTTAAAATATTGTCAATACGTTGCGAGCAGCAAAATAGGTAGATGCCAGAGGTGATTTTAGAGGCTTTAAATTACGACATGTATAAATTTTGGCAGAAACGTGCCACTTTAAGTTACAAAGTTACAGCTGTCTTTTTGTTTTTGCATACTCCGATTGTTGCTTAGTTAAGCTGCGAGCACAAAGTGGTTGGCACTTTAAAGTTTTGCACTCTCTCATCAACTGCTAATTCGTTAAAATAGTTTATGCCACTGCTCGGGAACGCGAACATTCGCTACGGCTGTGGCCACTTTACTGCCAATAACGGAGCCACACGAAGCCAACGAGGGCTATAAAAAAAATTACAACAAAAAATGCAACCACGTTGGGGAGATGGAGGGGTTGGCGTTGGGTACGCGTAATTGCTCGAGTTAGCGAATAAATTAACGAGCGCCGGGAGCAAAATGCCAACTTGCCGCATAAGCGACCCCAGTTTATGGCGCACTGATATTTGCACTGTAGCGTAAGGCTTTCTAATGTGATTGCGGAACATGTTAATTGGCTGCAACTGGCAGCGCAAGCTTGACTGCAACACTTTATGCACTGGCACTATGTACTTAGGGTACTTCCGTAGTACCCGAGCGTGAAAGGAACTGTTTGAAAGCCAAGGCTAAGAATTGGCGGTGTGAGTGCTATTAATTAGGCAATTCTAAAATACAGCAGTGAGTTAGTGACGCGTAAGTGGCAGCAAAGTGCCTGTATTGCGGCTAACGAAAACCTCGCAATAACTTAAAGATTCAGCGGGCGCAAGCGGCGCACACTGCGACCAAACTGAAAGCTCTTATGTAAATATTAATTATTTTATACTAGAAATTTAATTTGTAGCCTTTGCTTCTAATTGCTACAGTGGATTTTGCTTTCGTTTCACTTTCTTTGCAATCAAGTATGCTAGAGCTCCGTATTTAAATAACAAAGTCGCGCCAATTGACGCTGCAAGTAAATGCAAAGTTGAGGACAATAAGAACTCGCTTAATTTTTCCTTCCTATTTCGAGGTTATTGCAATCGATTTTAAATACCAACTCATCGGAATTTATTCCCCATATGATATTTTTAACTCAAGGAACTTCTAACCCATTGAAACCCTTAAAGACTCTCAGGTAATGTAGATTTGGGATCATTCCAGTAAATTATTTTACATTTGACAAAAAATATAAGAAAAAACTTTAACTTCGGTTGCACCTTCACAAATAGAAAATATTTCTTGCAATCACTTGTTTCCGGTGGTTCAGTTGCTTTAATAACCCTCAATAACCCATGCAAATTTCTCTCAGATATCTCATCAATTTAAAAGCTTACCATACCAGAACTTGATTTCAATCGTAGCTGTATGCTATAGTAATCCGATCTGGTTCAGACAATTAAGCAACATCTTGGAGAGAAAGGGACTTGTGCAAAATTTCAGACCGATATCTCAAAAACTGTTCGCGCAGATACAATACAAACGGTCAGCCGGACATGATTAATCAATTCAGCTTGTTATGATGATCATTTATAAATATATTTTATGTTATCTCCGACGTTTCCTTCTAGATAGAAACTTCGTGGAAAACTTAATATACCCTGTTGAGGGTATAAAAATCCGAGTCATTTCGGGTGTAGTAAATAAAATTGCCACGGAAAGCAAAAGGTCGTTGATTATCTTTCTTTCATCATAAAACTAATTATTAATAATCATTACATATTCTACCCTATCACCAAAAAATAATCGAAGATGACTAATTGTTTTATACTTCAATAGAGGAACTCAATATCTTTAGGACAATAATACTCTCCATATTAATGCTGAATGCATGAGGATATTTTATAGACAAAATTCATAAAAGAAGTGCCGAATCTCTTTACCCTAGGCCACCTTATTTTATTTTTTCTCTATGTCAAGATATTTGATCAAATCGCTTTTGCTTTAATCTGTCGACGCTAGGTTAGAAAACAAAAGCTTGGGATGAGCTCTTGTGTTTGTTACGATGACTACATTCGAAGCTTCCAAAAGTAAAAAATAAAGACAAATCAGGTTTTCAAACTTCTGTCTTGATAATATTTCTGTCAATATGTTTATACGCTTATATATACATACATACACATGTATAGTTCTGTTAACTAATTACAATTACCCATGTAGCTCATCCCAAGCAACAATAATAACAACTACAACCATTGTTTGTGGCGCATAAGTGCCACTTGGCATCCTACTCGTCCTGCTGAGGCATAATGGTGTTATTAACTTTATAGTTTGATTAACATTAACGGCATTAAGTTGCAAGTACATGTGTAGATGTCATGTGCCATTAATTGACATATTTGAGTACATGTTACAATGCGTAGCTCACCCAGCATATATTTACATCAAGCTTTGTTACCCGACAGCACACAGTCGGCCTGTGGAGACGAACACAACGATCTGATAATGGATACACAGGATGTGCTAAAAATATGGCAGGAACACTTTTCAAACTTGCGTTCTGGCGATGAAAACCAAAATCACGCCTGATTTTGATATCTATGTCTAGCCAAGACGAAGTCCTCACCGGTATATAGTGACTTAAGTACAACAAAACGGCAGGCGCATGATGTTTGCTTGCGGAATCAGGGAGCATAGATTGATTGACTAGACGAAAGCATGCCCAATGGTTGGAACCTCAATACACTGTATCCGGCCTGAAAAATTACGACTCTACGATATGCGCCAACTACCGAGGAATCAGCTGGTATCCATCGCGTACAAGATCCAGTTAAGCATATTGTGTGAGAGACTAAAAAAAATACCCAACAAACTGATTGGATCTTTTAGGTGCGGCTTTAGTACTCGTCGTTGAATTATTGACCAAATATTCACACTGCGCCAAATCTTGGAGAAGAGCCGGGAATAAGAAATCGTCACTCGCCATCTTTTCGTCTTACCTATGCCGACGGCGTAGACATAATTGGACATAGCAAGCAGAAGTTTAGAAAGCGCTTTCGCGGCTATCGAAAGGAAATCTACCAAAATCAGTCAGACGGTTCATGAGGGCAAAACGAAATATTTACAATTTTCAGAATGAGCTAGTAGCTAGGAACTATATTTTCGAAGCAGTCACAAAACTTGTTGTTCTTTGTAACGTCATCAGCAGTAATAATGATGCAAGCCTGGAGACTCAGCAAATGAAAACAAATTCGTATCGCAGAACCCATTCTAAACGCATAAAACTAACACTCTACAAGTAGTTCATGACGCCCGTGAGAAGCACCTAAAAAGATTACAACAAGCCGAGATTTGATAAGGCTAATTAAAGAGAGAAGAACTACAAGTATAATGGTTTTGTTCATCTAACGTTTATTGTAATATCTTCATAGATTTTAGATGAATTCGAAGTTATGTATAACAAAATGATTGGATTGATTTCGTTACGTCGCTTGTTCAATCCATTTGCCTAAGCCTTGATAAAAAACCGGGGTTTGGCTTTAATTTCACACCCAGTCAAAATTAATTAAAATCGGATCACAGTCATATCTAGATCTTTAGACGCAATTGGTGCGAAATTTCACTTAACAGATCTCTGTTGCCTTTAATACACACAAATTGCAGGCATACCCAATGTTCGACCGAGACCGAACATTACCGCTCCTTACTTTCTTTAATTTATTAAAACAACAACATGTGCCAGCAATTAATGAATCGAAAAATTAATATTTAATAAGTGGTAATTGCATTATTAATTTTTTTGCATTGTATACATTTTCCGAATGCAAGGCAATCAGACAATTATGTTAACAACCAATTTGCGGTCCAGTGCACACAATACAAAAGCATAAATAAATAATTATGCATAATGTATGTAAGTACTGAATAATACAAAAGCTCGAAAGTTTCTGAAAAGTTTATGACAAAAAATGGAAGGAAGAAGGAGGAAGGGCATTGAACATAATATACAGAAAATAATATTTGAAATACAATGTCCAGAATATAAGATATAATAATATAACATTATATAAAAAATATAAACATTGAATATAGAACATATAGCATACAGTGTCTACCATAGAAATTACGTGATTTTGACAGTTTCTGGCCGCCTTGTTTGTTTACGGATTTGTGTCGAATTTTGCCAGTGTGTTCAGTAAGGTTTGCCATTTTATTATGAAAAAACGTTCATCGCAAAATTATCTTCGCAGATGAAGACAACTTCTAGCTTGATGGCTTCGTCAACAAACAAAATTGAGTCAAATCCGCGTGTGGTTCAGGAAACGCAATTGCATCCCCAATTTGACCGTTTGGTGCGAATTGTAGTATGGTGGCATTATCGGGCCTACAATCAATAGCAAGCGTTATAACACGATGTTGACCGACTTTTTTTCCCGGAATTCGATGAAATCGACGCGGACGATCTCTAATTTCAACAAGACGGTGCGGCGCCTCATGGTTCACGTCCAAATATGGACACATAACGTGCAAAGAGTGGCGGCTCGTTAGTTTTGAAAAATAGCCCAGTCAAATGACCGCCAAGATCATACGATTTAACGCCTCTAGATTAATTTCTCTGTGGGTTTAACTCCAAGGTTTACGCCAACCTACCAAGAACGCTAGAGGAGCTTGAAGACAACATTTAGTGCACTGTAACCGAAATTCTGCACCGGGTCATCGAAAATTGGCGTAAACAACAACGTAACATCTAGAATAATGAATATAGAGTAACAAATTTGAAATATAAAACATTGTACATAGAACATTGAATTATGGCAAATGACAAACTAAGCGAACATTTTAAAATATTAAATGCCGTCAGCGCAGAGTTTGAAGAATATTTTATTTTCTCAAATTAATATTTAAATATTTTTTTCAGAACGTTGCCTAGCGAAAGCTATTTTTCATTAATACAGTTTAACGATATTTTAGAAATGTAATTCTTTATATTATTTGCAACATTAAGCCTTCATTAAGGGATAATTGAATACCAGTGAAGTGAAAGCTGAATTTTAACTAATGAGTAATTTTAATTAATGATTAGTTAATGCAAAAGAATTTAATTACACGAAGTAACACACGTCAATTCATTTCAATTTGCATATTTGTTAGTATAGGGTAATCCTTATTACACTGAAAATTTTAAAAATTTTTAAATGTTTGAAAAAAAGAAACGAAAGTTAATGCCTCGGTAAAGTCTCATCTGGAATATATTATATAATATCGCTACAAAGTTAGTAAGGTAAGCCTATACTCCTATAAAATATTCGTATATATAATACCTCAGTTTTTGAGATATCCATCTGAAATTTTGCACACATCCCTTTTCCCCAA